AGATAAAATGTATAAATACACTGCCATTTTACTCTCATGTCTTCCAAGTACTTTTAGTTCGCCCTACTTCTATAAGCCTGTCCCTAACATCACACTTCTGAGCCAGCAAGCAAATCCAGTCAAAGGCGTAGCTCTAAATATTCAACTATTTGTCTTTGCTTCGCTTGATCACACACAGACCACTGGGACATTTCTGCCGCCTTATTTTTTTCTCTTTTTTTTTTTTTTACCCTGGTACTTGATGCGATTCTCCTGTCAGCTTTCATTTGTAAAGGTCTCTTTAAGTGTGACCAGCGCTGCCCCGTACCGCCTCTGAGCTGGACGCAGTTAGCATAAAAGATCGAGGAAAAAAACCCTACTTCTGAAATAGGCCAGGCTTATATGATATATTCTCCAGGACGAACATCTCTTGGAATGAAAACCCTTGGGAAAAAGTGATATATTAATGTTGTTATTTTTTAACTTGATTTTTGATACTACGGAATAGACTTGATACTCGATACCATTTCTAATACCACAATGATAGTTTAAAACACTTTCTTTACACTATTGAATGTGATTTTCAACATTAAATCATAACTTTCTTTTAAATTCCCATGTGTTTTTATATTTGTGTAATCTCTTTTAGAGCCCGACCGATGTGGATTTTGTTGTGGCCGATATGAAACCGATATAATGGGAGTTGGCGCTGCCGATAGCCGATATAATCACCGATATATTTAGTGGTGTAAAAATTCACTGTAAATCTTGAATTGATTAAAAAACTTAGGTTTGGCTCTAGTGGATTCTAAATTGGGTTTATTTAGGCAACATTTATTGTTATTTTGACTCTTTACATCATATTTACATACAGTAGATTGGCCTAATGGCATTTTTGCATCACATTCTAGCTACTAGTGATGGGGATTCCAGTTTTTTTTTGTTTTTTTTTGGAGAACCGGCTCTTTTGGCTTGGCTCACTAAAGCAGCTGGCTCTTTCGGCTCCCAAGCGACTCTTGAGATTGTTTTGTTGCAAGCAGGACTAAACCAGAACTGAACCAGGACTGAGTGTCGGGACTCGGTTTCTATCTCTCTCCTGCACTCGAGCCCAAGATTAGTCCTGGTTTATTCATTTTTTGCTGAACTGCAGCCAAATATGCACTTTTTTTTTTATCCTATGCACACGCAGATTTCTGAAAGTTTCGTTTTCAGCCGCTGCTGCTGTCAAACTACGGGTCTACATGCGGCATGAAGAGAAAAAGTGAGAAAAAGAGAAAACATGGCTCCCAATAAGAAGCAGGCTCCCGTTGTTCGCTTTAAGAGCCGCTTTGATCGCGACCGACCCATAACTCCTAGCTAGTAAACTATCGCTATTAGCCTTTAGCCGTAAATGCTGCGCAAAGCGGTAGTTAATTATATGCATAAATGTGGATCATTCACACGTCTATTCACAGCTCATTTACATATCAATGCAGGTCCAGTAACAAATACATGGCCAGTATAGTCACTTTACAATAGACCAATAGAAAACAGCCTGTTTATGTGTGGGAGCTACAGCAGCTAACCGCTAACAAAACCTAAGCTAGCTTCAAAGTCGATGTATTTCCAACACTCAGACTCACACAGGCTCCTCCTCACATCACAAGTCTGCACTAATAAATGTCCTTTTAATCCAGACTCAAACCGATTGTCCGAAAAAGAATATAATCTCAGTGTTGCGCACGGCTGCGGGTGTAAACAAACACACGCGAGTGAAGTGACGTCACTCTGGTGGTGTGTTCAGAGACAGTACGGACACAGACAAATTACACCGCAGATAAATACTGATGCGGAGCCACATATTAGGACATTTATCTGTCTGTAAATTGGATTAAATGAACATAATGTAGAGAGTCTAAGCTTTATAACGAGGTATAACATGCCCACGTGAAATATCGGCCCCTATCAGCAAGCATATCGGCCGATAGCCGATATGTCTCCAGGTGCCCATTTTGGCCGATAATATCGGCCGGCCGATATATCGGTCGGGCTCTAATCTCTTTGTCGTATAGGTAGGTTCCATAGTCATCCATGGGTGTATACTAGTCTATGTACTTTTATACTTGTTCTGATACAGCTCAAGATCATTCTAAAGTGATTCAAGAATAATTTCTGTTCCGTAAATGTTACTTTTTTGTGTCGATATCTGTTTCAATGAGGATCTAGCTTCGATACTAGTTTTTATATCAATTAGTATCTGTGTAATCCCTCAGTCTTCCAGGTAGGATCCATAGCAAAAGCAAAAATTCATTCTGTCAACAGCAGCAAAGGAGAAATTAAATTTGTCAAATGGACAAAAGTTTATTTGGTCAAATACGTTTCACAGCTCATCCAGGCTGCTTCTTCAGTTCTGGTCAGAATGCTGGTGGACACTGCCTTATATCTGCCTACTGGGGTGTTTCAGAGTAGTTTCACTATAGTTAGCTCCTCCCTGCAGGTAAGTATTCGACCAAATACACTTTTGTCCAGTTGACAAATTTAATTTCTCCTTTGCCGTGGGTTCTACCTGGACAACTGAGGGATTTTTCACACATTCTGTCAACAGGACTAGGGATGGGCATGATTAATCGATTAATCGATAATTGATCATTAAGAATTTCATCGATTACGTTAATTTTAATCGACAAACCGAATGTAGGTTGCTGTGCGTAGCATGACCAAACAGGGTCCGTACATGTGTCTCTCTGCATCAGAAGGAGCGAGCAAACACAAACAGTCGGTCAGTCTGCAACGTACCGAAGCACAAATGCGTATTTAACAATGATTTGTACAAGAAATTCCACGCTTTCCGTTGCGTTCGGGACAAGTGTGAGGCCATGTGCACAGTGTACAAAGCAGGAACATATGTTTCTGTGTCCAGTGGGAAAAAGCTTTACCAGGTGAGAGTCGCTCAATGTCAATGACGAGTCCCCACCTCCCTCCCCCCGTACGCTGTCCTGGTTTTGACAAACGCAAATATGGTCACACTAACCTGTATTCCACTGAGTCATGTCTTTTAATCCGACAGAAACTGACCGCATCAGCGACACAAGAGCTGTAGTTTTATTTTCGCTGAGTTTATGCAAATTAGCGATGCGGTTTTAAGTTTCGTTTCTGTGAGAGTTGCGCTAAACTGAATTAAACACATTATAATCTAAAACGGATTGATGTGGCTCTAGAGTCGTTACGGTTTATATGTCGTAAAGTTGAATTTATTTATGCAGATTAGTAGTGCAGATAGTAATAATAATGATGATCATTTTAATATAAAAACGTTAATGATTAATCGATAATCGATCGTTAATTCTTCCGACGATCGATTAAGAAAATTTCATCGAATGCCCATCCCTAAACAGGACAATTGTTTTTTTGCGTTTGCTCATCCAAGCAGATTCTTTTCTGATCAAAATGCTTTTGGACACTGCCATTTATCTGCCTGAAGGGAAGAGCTAACTACACTGAAACTAACACACCTATTTGTTTACAGTTTCTGGTTGTTAGTGTAGTTCATTAGGAATCTAGCTAACTGTGAGCTCTGTGAGTCTTATTTGCATAATCGTTCAAGCTCTAATTAGTGCTCTTACACCTATTACCATACTGACTATCCCTATAAACAAGGACAATAATTGATATGGCCTTGTGTTAGTTTCAGTGTAGTTAGCTCCTCCCTTCAGGCAGATATAAGACGGTGTCCACCAACAATCTGACTAGAACTGTCTCTAAAAAAATGTTATGAATTACTATCTGATACTTTTGACAACCTGTAGTGGACCAAACAGAAAGGCAGGGACAAAGGTGTAAAAATAAGTTTAAATTTAATAAAGTCATAAAGGTAATTTAACAAAAGCTCAAAATTAAGCAAATCATATTTAACAAACAGTCAGGCCCAAACTGAGGTTAACTATAAAAAAACTAACCTCCCAGATAAAGGAACAGTGGTGTTAAATACTGGAGGACTAAGTGAAACTGAACACAAGAGGGAGGAATTACTAGTGTTGTAGTCAAGACCATGCTAATCGAAACCAAGACCACAGGGTCCCGAGACCAGGACAAGACCAAGACCTCTGAGGGTTGAGACCAGGATGAGACCAAGACCACAGCCCATCGAGACCATCTTTGTAATCTTCGACATTTATTTGTATTTTGGCACACACATATCAATGTTTTTTATAAATCTATCTCCATTTTATCTGATTAATGTTCATTTAGGTCTAAAATAAGCCAAGCAAACTGTACCGCACTTAAACACTCTGTGCTTTGTTTTTTGGACCCTTAACCACAGTCTGAAAACCCTTTTTTTAAAAGAACTTCCACTGGTACTTTACAGAAAACTGTGAAGAAAGTGAATAAAGTATGTAGTATTTTTAAATCAAATAATTTTTCAAATTTCTAACTCGAGTTACATTATCTTACTGGTTTTACGGTGGTATTTAGCAGTCTCTGCACATTTACCAAATGCACATCGTGACAAATACTGATTCGTTTGTGCACTTTAATCGGGCAAACTTCAACCACATGTTGCGGTAAGAAGTTTATTGCCGATAGCAGCGGCCTCCTCCTCCTCATTTATTCCTCAGGTCTGGCAACTCAAAAAGACAAAAAGAACAACTGTATGTAAATAGTTGAGACATATATTAACTAATGCACCCAAATTAGAAAATATAAGTCTAACTAAATGAATGAAATTAAACTGTGTATTGTAAATAATGCAACTTAATGAAATGTAAAGTGTAAATGAAATGGAATAAAAATGCTAATTGTGGACAAAACCCTACTTCCGAAATAAGCCAAGCTCATATCATGTCTTCTCCAGTACGAAAATCTCTTTAAACGAATACCCACGGAGGAAAAAAGCAATTTATCCATCTCCCTCTTGTGCTTTCGTTGTTAGTTTGTTCCTGAAGAAATAGCAATTTGCGGGATTCTAATGATTATAATGGGAGTGAAAAGTGGTGCAAATTGAAACCATTGTTGGGTTTTTCTCTTCTTGTTTTTTGGCGCAGAGAGGTGGCGGTACCCTCGGTCATCATCCTGAACACGTCCAACGAACAGTACTTTCTGCCCGAGGAGCCGGTGCAGACCCTGGAGCAGCTGGTCCAGTTCATCAGCGGTGTGCTCAACGGATCTGCTCAGGTTTGGAGTCTTTTTTATTTCCCAGTACAAAAAATAACTACATGACTTTTGTGGCATTTTTTCACTTTTATATGGTTTCTTCAACAAAACATTCCAAACCAAAAGGCGTATTTGTTTTTTGTCTTGCACTGGTGTAAACTTCCTGGCGGCAGAATGTAGTTTATTCTGACTTTTTAAAAATATCTCTCAACCTGATTTTAGTTGCACAATGTGTAACTGTATGTACATGTATGAAAATGTACATGGAAAATTTAGCTTTCATCCATCCATCCATTTTCTTCCATTTATCCGGGGCTGGGTCATGGGGGCTGCAGTCTTAGCAGGCACTCCCAGACTTTCTTCACCCCGGACACTTCCTCCAGCTCCTCCAGGGGGACCCCAAGGTGTTCCCAAGCCAGCTGCGCGACATAGGCTCCTGGATTTTTTTTTCTGTGGGTTGAAAAAAAATTTGCTTCCACACACATGTCTGATCAATAAATATTCACGTCCAGACGACAATGGAACAATGAGTGAAAACGATGTAATACATATCCTATAGCTATATGTGGTGCTGTAAACGGGATACAGCAAGATCCACTGGACACACAATACTACAAAGAGCGCATGTGCATAAAGGCTTTTGTAGTACTACCGTAAATTCTGGACTGTAAGCCGCTACTTTTTTCTCACACTTTCAACCCTGTGGCTAATAAAACGATGCAGCTAATATATGGACGGATTCTTTGTTTGGCACATTGTCCACTCATAGAAACGGTCTATGGTTTGGGACCACAGCGGATACGCACAGCTTGAGTACAGAAAGTGTCGCTGTCTGTGCTACACTAGTTAGAGATATTGTCATGACATGCAAATAGTTTATCGCCGTGTGATAAAATAAGTAATGATCCTAAATGAACATTAGTGAGGTCGATACGTCTTACCAGTATGCGTAAATGAAAAAGAAGAAACGTCTCAAACCTCAGTAGCTGGACATCCACTCATACCTGATTGACACAACTATCCCCGCCCCCGAGAGAGTCTGAAATCTGCTGAAATCCTCCAAGACCCTGACATGATACAGACAGGACAGAGGCTCTTTCTGCAGGAGTCATGCGCAGTAGAGCGCGGGGAGGGATGGGGGTGATGCGCTGAGAAAGATGCTCGTTTGATTGTGTTTTGAACAGTTATTTTGCGCTTCATACACACACCCTCCTCATGGGAAACACACGAAGAAGTGCAGAAGATGCAGCTTTTAAGTGAACAGTGATTGATATGGCTGTCAAAGAAGGAAATCGAGCTGCTGCACGTGAGCTCGACATCAGTGAGTCGATGGTGAGATTTTGGCGACGGCAGCGACGAACTGACTCAATGCAAAACAACAACAAAAGCTTTGAGGCCGTAAACGCAGATGGCCTCAACTTGAAAACGTTCTTGAAGACATGGACACCTGTGGCTTATATTCAGGTGTGACCTATATATGTACAATTAAAAAATTGTATTAATTTCGTTGATGTGGCTTATATTAAGGTGCTCTCAATAGTCCGGAAAATATGGTACATAATAGATTAAGAGGTTTTGTTGGAACAGTGCAAATAAACTGAGCAGCGTCCGCAGAACAAACTCAGCTCCGTTGTCCGCCATGGTTGTTGTTATGGTTGTTACCGGTTGTTGTGCGGGGTTCTCTTCTGGTCACGTGGCAATGACGGGGTCGCGATGTCATCATTTTTCAAAAGCTGCGGTTTGCTTGTATATACAGCGAACGCATCACTACAGCTACCGCATCACTGCCGACGCTGCACCGATCTGCCTGTCGATCTCAAGCTCCATCCTCCCCTCACCAGTGACCAGGTCCTCAAGATACTTGAACTCCTCCACTTGAGGCAGGAACTCTCCACCCACCCCGAGAGGGCAAGCCAACTTTTTCCAGTTAAGAACCATAGTCTCTGATTTGGAGGAGCTGATCTTCATCCCAGCCACTTCACCCCAGTTATCGTTCAGTACTTGAATTAGTAACTGCGCCCTCTGCTGGAAACAGTTGGAGTGATTTGTTGGCAACTACCTGTTTTTTCACAATTTAAAAGATTTTGTATTTAATTTAGAATTGTTAACTGCTAACTTTGAAACCCATGGATACATTGTGCAAATACAAAGTGGTTTAGAAGAGTTTTTAAATAGAATAAACTATTGAACCAATGTTCCTGTTTTCTTTCATGATATGTCTACTTATTTCCAAAAACACAATATTTTCTTACTCCTTCCTAGTATAGTTTTCAGTTTGAATAACAAAATCTTGGCCTCTTCACAAATACCCATGTTATCTTGTTAAAACTCCCCAAATCATGATTAATATTCAGAATTCCAGTCAGTTTCTCTTTTCCACAGTGTTCCTCCTCATTTTGCATTCACATCATCTGGTTGTAATCACAGCAGTCCTCTCCATTAATCAGGCAGGATGGCTTGGAGTGTTAACACGTCCCTGATAATGTCACCAGCAGATGAGTTTTTTCTCTAATCTCCTTTTGTATGTTTAGATTTCATATCGCTGCCCCTTCTCAGATTATCTCCCATAATTCTGCCACCATTCGCAGATATTACTACAAGAGCGCATATTGCCTTGTGCGTGAATGTGGAAAAGAAATAGTTTTATTCACGATGTGCGTCATGTGCTGTGGAAATTGTATAGCCTTCTGTCTAACTGTTTGCATGCAAATCTGGTCCATGAATGTCTGTTTGAATTGGATACGAAAAGCACAATGGAGGAATGGGGTAGTGTTGTCAAAGGTATCGAAAATCAGAAACTATTGTAATAGATATTAAGACAGATACAGTTTTGAGTAGAGATAGACTGATATTTGCTCTTTTTCAGCCTCATATCGACCTTAAATCTCCAACATAAGTGATATTTTGTTTTGGACAACCTGGTACCTAAAAATATCCCCGATTGCAAAATTTGAACACTTCAGTACGAAGAGAGAACTGCACAAAACATGACTACTCAGCTCTTTTAAAGGTTTGTGAGGGGGAAAAAAAAGCTGTGGGGGTGGGGGGAGTTTGTAGTACATTTAAATTACAGAAGAAAGAAAGAATTTGGGGAAAACCATAAAAATTGGCCCTGCATATCGGCCCAAAAATAACAGCAGAGTTTATCGGAAATAATCTGTGGATTCTAAACAGTATTGGCGTCGACTCTGGAAAAAAAACATCTCTACTTTTGAGCAGGCATCGATATTAAAAAAAGTCACATTCACAAGATAGAACTGAACCTTTCCTGAATAGCTTTAGAATGATCTTGAGCTGTATCAGAACAAGTATAAGTCGCACTTTTTTTCATGGTTTGTGTGGTCCTACGACTTTTACTCCGGTGCGACACATATATATAAACATTTTCAGACTGATAGCCACGAGAGGGCACTCTAGGCTTGTGTATCAGTTTTTCTGCGCATGTCTCCTGCAGAAAGAGCCTCTGTCCTGCTGCAAGTAGTGAAATATGCAGCAGAAAACGGTAATTGAGCAACAGAAAGAAAGTTTGGAGTGAGGGAGAAACTTGTGAGGGGCGAAAAGCGGGAATGGAGAACACAGCTTCACGGCAAACGGGAGGGTGCGGCATGCCTGGACTTCCTGTGACAACCGAAGTTGCACGGAGTTGGTTAAAAGTGACACAGAGCATGAAGAATTCAATGGATTTAGTGATTTGGAGTGAGATGGAGAGTTTGGTAAACTTATGTTATATTTTTTATGCTATAGTTATCTGAATAACTGTTAATATGTTACTTTAACATACCAGACGCCTATTAAGCCTGTTGTTTTTTATTCTTTTGTTATTACTATAACCTGCCTTACAAGATGAAATGTTGGTTCCTAGTCTCTGTTTTTATAAAATAATTTTCCCCCATTTAAGTGCACGTTATGTTTTTTTCTTTTTCATTACACATTTTTTGGCTGGTGCAGTTTACATTTCCGAGTGACTTAAAGTCCAAAAAATATGGTACTATATGCCCATGTCCCTGGACCACTGAGGGATTACACAGATATGAGACCACATGGCACACATAATGTTAAAGCGCTGTGATTTAATGTTACATATCACATTCTGTTATCTCATATTATTTTGTGTTTTTAGTGTAGTGTTTTTTTTTTATCATTGAAGGATTACACAGATATAAAAATACATGGTCATATAAAAGAAAGTACTGTTATTTAATGTTGAAAATCAAATTCTATTGTGTGAAGAGTGTTTTTGAAATTGAGTTTAAAATGTTTGTATCATGACACTAGAATGGCGAATTGTTATCTTTGGAAAAACACAATTGGACTGAGTAGTAAAAAAGCAGTTGTAATTTTGGTGGACGCTAGGAGGTGATTATTGGTGCGTATTATATTACAGATTATAACATAGGAAGTGTATGTAAGATTTTGTTTTGAAATTATATAAACACTGCCCGTACGTGCTCTCAGAAAGGAGGAGATGTTCAAATCAAATATAACTTTTACTGATATGCAACGTTGATTTATTTTAAATGACAAAAACATTGGACATTATGTGCCAATTATTTAGGTAATCATTTAGTGGTTTGCTTTTGTGGTTTGTGAGGAAGCAGAATCAGCCTCAGAAGTCTTTTCTGTTAGTGCTCGTTACAGTTACTGTGCAGTGTGTTCTTTCTGCTAGTGGAAAAGTAACTATTTGGACCTTGTTTGTTCTTGTAGCATCCGTACATGGCCTATTTTGTGCTAGATACATCTTTTCCTTTCACTTCAATTATTTGTAAGAGCATTGCTGTACCCTCCTTTCAATAAAACAAAAATGATAAACAAGAAGCCCTGCTATACTTTAATATGGAACGGAAATCCATGCCCTCTCTCTGCTTCAGTTCTTGGGTCTCCAGATGTACAAAACCAAGAAAAACAAGCTCCAGAGGTCTTCTCCTGTTTCCAAGAAAGGTCTGAGCTATTTTTACCCAGCCAAACACAAGATCTGCAGCCAAATAAGCAGCACCAGCCGAACATCTGTTTGTGCAGTCCAG